CCAAACAGTTTATTCTCTTACTTGCTTACTTCTGAAAATGAACACCCATTGAGAGTGTGAAATTATCTGTCATTTGCTATTCTATTTTAGCAACTTATGAAGGAAATCTAACCCTTTACTTAAGGTATGTATTCCTTTCCTTTATTGAAGGATAATTTACTATAATGATCAATTTATTAAATCCTCAAAATCTTATTTTCCTTAATTGTCATTACAAATTTGTGCTAAATTGATAATTCATTAATTATCTTATCCTTATAATAAGTCTAATAATTTAGTTAATTAATTTTGGTAATTAATTAACCCTTTTATTCATATACTAAGTATACATAAGTTAGTTAATTAATCTTAGTAATTAATTAACTTCCTTAACAATATTCTAAGTCTTAGATAATTTAATTAATTAGTTTTAATAATTAATTAAATTATCATTCATAATACACTTTTAATAAACTGTACTTTACCTCACTTGACGGGCTCGTAATAGTGTTAAGGTCCATATTTACCGTTGTAAAATTAAACGTCTAGCGCATCGTTTCTTTACGATTTTCGCTTACATGTTTATTTGAAAATCGTTAAGTTTTATTGAAAAGCTATATATGACGTTTAACATAAACATAAACCTAATTCACGAATCTCATAATTAACGTATTTCGTGAAAATCATACGCTTTATATGACTATCTTAATTAAACTGTAAGCAAGGTTTGTACTTGCCTGGATTCCGAGCTAAGCGGTTCTGATAGTATCTCGCTTGTCGTGTCCTCATGCGTATTCCTCAAAACTAACTTTGGAAAAAGCTGCAAGCACTATGAAAGATCCTTGAGGAACATCGTAGCTTTAAACACTCAATTCTGATCTTCACTTGTTTAGTCTGAACCACCTCGATCCGCGTGCAATCAGTACTAGACCATTCTTATCAGAATTGAATTTGGTTGAACGGACGTCACCATTTCGTTCAGCACGTCGAAACGAGTCAGGATATGGTCTCGGATCAGCAAACGGATGTCGATAGCCTGAGAAACGACACCTCGCCGGAATATGGCGGCATACGGCGGCGGCGGCTCCCGGAGAGTTTTTCCGCGGCGGACTTGGGTCCTACCCCCCATAACTTGACCCTTCTAAGTCAATTGGTGCAGTCAATTTCACACCATTCGGCCTGTAACAGTACCTATCGGGACCGGCAACGTCGGTAAAATCCGACGACTCAAATCTCACAATTCCGGCCATCAATTCTTAAAATTGGATGAGGGGTTTTCTTACCCGTTTCCTTCTGAGTGTTGTGACACCAAATTCACTACGATCCAACGGTTAGATCGTCGGAACCACCTCTTCCCTCCACGGACGACGGTAGTAGCTCCGTTTTCCGGCCAAACTGCGACGGCAACGGTGGCTGCTGGTCGGGATCTACTGGACGTCGGCTTCTGAGTTGATTGGTGGGGGCGGTGACATCCACGACGGCCTGGAGAGAGAGAAACGACGGCGACGGCGGCGGCGATTCCGACCACCACGGACGGCGGTGCTCCGGCCAGAATCGAGCTGTGAAAATGGATGGGTTTTCTTCGTCTCGCTGCACTGAGTCCATAGGGACTGAAATCATCTCAATCGGAGGTCGGATGGCGGAGATATCACGACGGGAAGAAATGGAAATTTCGAAACTTCCGCCGGCGATTGCGGCTGATTCCGGCGGAGTTGGAGGTCGTGCCGCATGTCGTTGAACTCAGCTCGTCGAGATCTTTCTATTGACACCGGCGGTGTCAAAAATGGAGGTCGGAATCTTAACTTGAGTATTTGGCCATTGATGGTTTGTGTGAGAGAAAACGTGAGAGGAGAGAGAGAATGAGCGAGAATAAGAGAAAAAAAGTGCAAGAACCCTAAAAATTTCACTATATAAAGTATCTGATTAAGGCAAGATTACGTGCCTGATCTTATCCTCAATTATTTCCTCTAAACAGATTAAATTTATACTGATTAGAGGTAATTAGTTTAGCTCACGTAAGTTAATCTACTACTTACAGTCCAATATCAATTTCTGAATAATTCAATATTGTTTTATATTCTTACTCGCGTAATATTTCAAACTGTTTCAAGTCTTGAAATTAATTTTAGACTGAACAAATTCTAAATTTTAATTTTCTGTATTCTATCCCGAGAATGACGTTTCTGACAGTGTCAACTCCCGAGCTCATATTGTATCAATCTACTATAGGTATGTATCTTGTGACTTTAACCTAACTGTTTGGCAATTAAGGATTTTTTTCTTCTTTTAAAATGTCAGTGCGTTTTTTTTTTATATGCCGCTAACATCGTGCTGTGCTTAGAGATTCTTGAAATTAAGATTCTCAAACTATACTTGTACTGAAAATTATTCTGCCTTAAAATACGGTGAGAATTTATCGATCGAATTTACTTGATCGAAACATGAACTTAACATGAAATTTGCTATGGAATTTAGGAATACATATATTAATTCCATAAATCCTCCATTCACAATATAACATAATATTTTCTAAGAAAATCCTTGGATTAAAAATACATGAATTGTATTATTTAAGGTCTTAAATTTTCTCAGTCATTACAGTACACATCTAAGAACTGGTAGGTCATGTTAATGAAACTTAATTTATAAGGTTGTCACATTGCAGTAAGAGAGAGAAATGCTGGCGTCATTTTTTTCATTTACTACTTCACACGTGTAATTCACTAACATGCATTATATATTATTATTTAAATAGAAAATAAGATAGTACAATACACGTATGTCTCAAATAGTTAATGTAAAAAGTGACAAAGAGAGTGGCATAAAAGTGACGCTAACATTTCTATAAAAAAAACACTCATAAGAAGGCAGTATTTATAATATATCGTTGGTCAAAAATTAAATAGCTATAAGCTTCTTGACGTTTACTGGGAAAGTGTATTGCAAAGGACCATAAAAAATATGATCCACAAAGATGCGATGAGCTGCTTCTGTAGGATGGCTTCCATCCCAGAAAAGATGGTTGCTTCTGTTGTTGCAATAGCTTGAAATTGGCAAACATGGGATCTCGGCTTTTAGTTTTCCCATGCCACAACAAGCAGCTTTAACCTCGGAAAATCCTGAAAATTAGTTAATTAATTATAATCAAATAGGAAAACCTTTTCATCATAGATATCACATTCCTTCTAATAATATTTAACCTATACATCACGGCGTAAATATAAAGTAAAGGATACATATGAGATTAAAAGTGTGGAAGAGAACATTTGGGGGAAGTAATTGGAATTTCAGAGACAGTACAGAAACTTCTTATACTACTTAGAGGGCGTTTGATTTATGTATTCAGAATCATGATTCAAGATTATTCTCGTTTTAGTTGTATTTTTTGTGAGAAAAAATACTGTAGAAAACCATGAATCATAATTCAGAATCATGGACGAATATAAGAAACAAACGTCCCCTTAGTTTTTTTATGTGATTATTCTCATTTTCTATTTCCGAAAAGGGTTAAGTTAAATTAATTAAAGGGTATATTTTTATAGAAACTAATTGGAATTTAGTGCCAATTAATCGAACAAATTTACTAGGAAAGAGATATTTTTCTCCAGAGAAATTTGGAAGTTCATACCGTAAGCAGTTGGCTTTTGAATGAAATTTTGCATCACGCTATAACCGTCAAAGTAGGAGTAGTTTATGCCGTTGAGCTCAAATTTCAAATTCCTCAACATTAACCTCAGAGCTTCATTGTACTTAACCGACCAGTGATTCACTTCTTCATTGCATTGTTCTCCTTTGTTCTTGTTCCTCTCCGATGGAATGCATCCAATAAGTCCTGTCCCAACAAATACAAACTTACGAGCACCAAGATTGTACAAACGCTGCCCAAAAAAAAAAAAAAACAAAAAAAAACAAAAGAAAAAAATCGTTAAAAGTGTAATGTTATTCAATCCCGTGGGGTTGTGGTTCCCACATGGTTCCCATCTCATGAGGTGCACCCATTGGGTCTAGCCCAAAGTCCCTCAGAATAAATGACCTTTTCCCATAATTAAAAGAAAAAATAATTTAGATCTTTACTCGTTATTCTTGATAAATACTCTTTTATTAGTGTAATTATTTGACTAAAAATGTAATGAATCAAGAGTAAAGGGTAAAAATCTTGATTCATGCACTTTTAAATACCCTTTTGTCATTGTAATTATTTCACTAAAAATGTTATGAATTAAGAGTAAATGGTAAAAATAATAATTCATGCACTTTTAAATACCCTTTTGTTAGTGTAATTAATTGGTTAAAAAATATATGAATTAAGAGTAAAGGATAAAAATCCTGACGCATACACTTTTAAAGAGTATTTATCAAGATTACCTTAATTAAAATGATCCCAAATAAATCGAAAAAAAATTTCGAGGTCACATAAATTGTTGTTACCTTAAGTTGTCCCTTAAGTGTGAAAGACATCAAGTTCACATACTGCGATGGAGTGCTTTTATTGCGTAATTCATCAGACCCAAAGTAGCTAAAGATGTCATTGCTTCCGGTCACAATTAGGAAGAGAGATTTTGAGAAATGCTTATTTGCACCGGTGGGTCCCAGCTGTTTGTTCAAGGCCTTATGCACTGCTAGAAAGTAGCCTACTTGTTTTGTTAAAGAGAGTGACTGGGGTTGGGACAAATAATATAGAAACACAGAAAAGAATAAGTATTAACTTTAATTAATTAGAGTGCAAGAAAATTTTGTTTAGAGAACATTGGCAAAATTAAATTTTTGTTCAAGTATAATATATGTACATAAGTCTAATTGCAATAGTAGATATTTTGTTTTACTTACAAACATTTTGTTTGTCTGATTCATGATACCAGAACCTCCAGAGGCAAAGTTTGCACCTGTTAGGAACTGATTACGACTTTTTTTCAACTTGAATGCCACAGAAAGATAAGGTGGGGATGGTGGTAAACCCACTATCTCAGCTGCCCAAAAATCCATTAAATTTGTTAGTGTTTTTTTTTTCTTTGGTTAAATTCAGATGTTAAAGAGTGAATTATAACAAATGCAACTACATGAACATGGGATCATAAAATTATATGGTCACATATATAATATATATATATATATATATATGTATAAACTTCAGCTATGAAGTGAATTATACAAATGATTCTTTGAATATTTTGTTTACCATTTATACAAACTTCAGCTATAAAAAGCTTTTCATCTACCATCTTTTTCCTAGAATCTCTACCTAGAAAGTGTCAATTATTGAGGTAGTACTAGTGTTTTACATAATAGCATCTATGATACATCTATCGAATTAATTTGCTGTCATCTTTAATTATCATCATTATTATTTTTAACTTTTTTTTTTTTTTTTGGCTTTTTTGATATGAATTAATTTCAATTTTTTTAGTACAACATTAGATATGAATTAATTGCAATTGTTATAGTACAACAGAGTCTAGCTCCAGCAGTGCCGGTTTATGGTTCATATATTACTAGTTCAGCTAAGACACAATTCGAATTTTCTTACATTCAACATGAGAAAAAGACGTCAGTTTTCAATCTTACACGGCATAAACTATCCAAAAAATGCACATGTTTTATGCCTTAATTTGAGTTGACACAAGTACTGACTGTTCAATTTGTAGTGTTCCAAATAATGTCTAACAAATTAAGTTCTGTAAAGCATCATTAAAACATGAAAATGTCGGTTATATTAAACGTTTCATTTTTTAAATGACGTGACACGATGTGAGTGGTTGATGAATTCCATTAGCACAGGAGATCTAAGATCTAAATTCCAGAAGGCATAGAATCTAAGCATGAATCTATAATAATTATTACATACAAGTGATTTTGGACAGTCTTTAGATATAATATAGTACTGAAAAAGGACGCCATAACAAATAGATTTACTTACAAAGAAGATCAACAGCATTCTTGCCATTACAAAACCTCCCAGTTGGTTTTTTGGTGGGAAAGTCAATGCCGTTGTGTGGAAAATTTGCTTTGACAAGGGAAAACACAAGGTAATTGTTGTTGCCCGCATCTACTAGGGAGTCTCCGAAAACATACATGGCCGGAACCAAACGAGCTGAAAAACTCAAGGACTGAGAGAAGAGAGAGAAGAAACTCACTAGCAAAACACCAATATTGTAAACCATTTTTTTAAGCTCAAGAAAGCACAAACCACCTCTCTCTCTCTCTCTCTCTCTCCCTCTCTCTCTCTCTCTCTTAAAATACAGAATGATATAGTCAAGAGAACGTATAGTCTATAGATACTGTTGAGAGTTAGTTAGAGGCATTGAAGAGGTTTTGATACACATAAGAGGCAAGAGTTTTAAATGAGGTGTACGCGGTTGAGAACCAATATTGCACTAATTTTTGTGGGCTCCAGTAGTACTATTGGTGCAGTAAAGATGGAACTAGAAGTCCTACTATAGATTTTATTGATCTAAAGAAAAAATAAATTAATAGGCATGAACTCTTTAAATTTTAGTTAAATTTTAATTAAAATAGTTAAAAAGTTACTTTAATTAGTAATTTTTTGACGAGTCACTCTAATCACACTTTTTATTTTAGTTAAATTTAAATTATTTTTATATTTATTGAATTTAAAATATAAATAATTTTATTGAATTTATAAAAAAATCTTTGCATTTATTATAGTTAAAAGAATAAAAGAATAAAAAAATTAAATGGAGTTATATTTAGTTAGTGTGAAAGACATTCTTTAAAATAGTTAACTATTTAGTTAATGGTTGGAGTCGAAAAAGCTTTAAAAAAAAACTGATTCATTCATCTTTTTGTCCAAAAACATGAAATGAATCTCATGGTTGGCGTTGCTTCCAAGATTTTGATTCTTTACATATAGTGCAAAATGATAAACACACAAATAATCATGTGATAGTTTTTCTGCTTTTAGCATTATATATTCTTGAAGATAAGAGAAAAAGATGATGATTTTCTTTTTTCCTTTTTTTTTTTTTTTTGGTAAGGACCATAATGATATTCAAGAATATGGATGTGACCACAGCGTACATGTTGGAGAAGCATATATTAATAGCATGTGCGTTTTATATAATAAGGGATATTTATATGTTTTGGAATAAAATTATTTTGACATCTGTGTTAAAAAGAAACATACTTTTTGATATAATGTGTTTTTAATAATATTAAAATAGTACTTTTATGTTTAAAAAAATGTTTTTCGGTGTTCTAAATCTATTTTTTGAGACATAAAATCTCATTTTTATCCTTCTACTTAATTTGCATAGAATCATTTTTCACAAAACATATTAAAAAGATGTAAAAAATACATTGATAAAAACTTGTTTAAAAAAAAAAAAAAAACTCTCTTTTTTATACACCAATATCATTGGAGCATAAGTTTATATGATGATTCCCAGACAAAAATGAAAAGAGGAAAAGATTTCTATATATTGATTCCTTCTTGTTTCTTCATTGGTGAATGCCAATTGATCATGTGATTGAACTTAAATGGACATATTACTTGGTAGTCCTCGCGGTGCCATAACCTTGTCATGATCTTCATTTTAGTGCGGCTGAGCGGATCTTGTTTAGGCTTCTTGCAGTTTCTCTCAAGACTTATTAATTTAATTTCTCTTGTAGGTGTTCCTGAGGAAGTTATTAAGAGGGCAGCATATATCTCAGTTGATCCGACATTATTATTTGCCCTATGTCAGTTTATAGCAAAGCTGAAAATTTTAGGCTCCGTTTTTTCAGAATTCGAATCACAACTCAAATATGTTGCTACAGCATTTTCTCATATAAATTCAAATTTTAACTTAAGTTCTCAACTCAAATCCACAGAAAGAACGGGTAAACTTTGAGTGCTACTTTGCTTGCCCAAATTCTTAATAGAGGCTCGGACAAAACTTCTCTTCGTTTACACTAATCCACAAACTGTCCTTTGGTTCTATGAAATACGTGAAAAACATAACACTCTGTTCATTTCACCGATTCGAGTTTAGAATTTGAGTTTTGCTACAGTAAAAATCTCTTAGAAACAGTCACATCTAACTTTTTTACTACAGTAAAAAACTCTCACATAAAGTCACATCTCAACTCAAATTATAAACTCAAATCAACGAACTAAACGGGCTCCATTTATTCAACTATTTATAATTAGGCCACAAAAAGTGGGCTTCCCTATTGAGTGCAATGCATACACTTAAACATGGAGGCCTATGAATATAAATTTCAAATTTCCACTGAATTTCGTTTGAAATCCTAATCTCTTGGGTTCCGTATGGTGTTACATTGAGGTATCATTTTCTTGTGTTTCTAAGTTTAAAGAGCAATTCGCTGCTTCACATTCTATGGAAACATGTATTCCGAGGGACCATCGAAGTTATGCAACCCGTTCTTCTTACAATTTGAATCACAACTCATACTTTTATTTGCTGTAACGTTTTCTCTAATAAAAATTTGAATTCAATTTTTTTTTTTTTTTGCTACAATGTTTTCTCTCACAAAAATTCACTTTCCAAGTTAAGTTCGCAATTAGAACCCACAAAACAACAGGTCCCTAGTCAACTAAAATCCCCCAGTTGCCTCCGAGGGATGATATCGATCCCAGAAGATGTGATTTTGTTTTGTTAGAGCAACATGCTGAGAGTGGCAGGCAAGGAGCATCTGCCCTTTAACTTCCCAAAACCACAACAAGCAACTTTTAACATCCACAAAACCTCAAATAAAAGCGAGATTTTCGCATTTTTAGTAGCTTTTGTATTCATTACCAAACCAAAAAGAAAAACGAATGATAATAATCTTTTCCCCTCTTGAAGGGAACTGCGGGTACCCGTAGATACCCACCCTGAATAGTGTGTATAAGAGTTATTGTATAAGAATAGGGTCGGATATGGGGGTTTATATTGTCCGTCGAAATAAAAATAGGGCGGGGGTGGGAGAAGTACCCCCACTCCCGTCCCGATATTACTGTAAATATTTTTAATAAAAATATATATCACATATTATTATAGTACTTATTTTACTATTCTATCATCTTAAAAAACCCTAATGATGATTCCAAAATTCTTATTATAAATAGTAATTTTGTTTGACAATATTGCAATATATATTTTTTAATAGGTAAATGGGTAAGGTTAAAAAAAGCCTCCCCGACGGTAATTCCTGACCCCGAATACGCCGGTATAGGGCGGTTATGGGGAAAAAGTTGAAAACGGGGCCAGAATAGGGGAAGTATATACCTGAACTCGTTTCGCCCGATGCTCTCTATTAGCAGGAAAGGGTTGTGCATTAGAAGAAAACGATAAATTTCTCTTCCAAACGACGAGAATTAGGAAAATAGTAATATCTCCCAATAACAACGGCAATTCTGACAACAACAACAACAACTTACGAACAAAGCAACGACAACAGTTAGATAAACGACAGTAACATAAAACAATGTTAAACAGCATGATAATTAATAGTGATAATTGTGAAAATGACGATTTTAATACAACGATAAAAAGTTAAGAAAAGACAATATTCCCATAAACAACAATAAATCTTAAAGAAAGACAGAAAAAACATCGAACTTTAAGCCAAAGAAAGAAGGCAATAGTACCCTAGGATGCTGGTGTATGGATATGGTTTAGCAAGACATCACAAGTCTAGAAATAGGCGTAGTTCATGTTCTTCAACGTCCGACTTTAGACCGTTAAACCGCCAAACCGCTCAATTCAAATCAAACTGAATTAAAACATTAATTATTTTTAGATTATTAGACGATTTGATCGGTTTTTTAATCTAATTTTTTTAAATGATTTAATTTGTGGTTTAGACCTCCCAAACCGCACAATATTCCACCCAAAGAATATATATATATATATATATTATCTCTAAAGTATATTTTTTTAATATATTTTCGTGAAAATTGAGTATCCAACTTAAGTGGTCTCCTCACATTCGGTTGTTATCGTTACGTTTAGTTCGCATGTTATGTTTTTTTGTAGTGTTGTGGTACGCCTTAGTGCTTTTGGTCTCTCGATCTTGATAGATCAGAGTTATTCGCCGATTATTACGGTGTTGGTAGTATGTTTGAAAGAGCCAATTTTGTGCTCGATTAGGTGCGTGGATCTTTAGTTTCTCCATATTAGAACTCGGTTCATGTGTTACCAACTTGATCGTTTCAGTCGAACCTTTGTGGTGAAGGTTTAGTCGCTAAATGTACTTGGGTCTTTCGTATCTGAATTGGTGATTGTATTTTTTTTTATTTGGAATGCATTTCCCATTCAAAAAAAAAAAAAAATTATGTGGCTGAATATCAAATCTCCAACATTTGATTTTTAAAGCTTTAACATTTTAATTTTTAAGGCTAGTGCATGGTTGCCCAAGCCTACCAACCACGCATAGAACAACATTGTTTTAACATTATACAAGCTACTACAAGCTATCATACTATTATGATTATCATTTCAAAAAAAAAATTTTAATAAATAATAACAATAAGCTATAATATTATTAGGCTTGGAAAACTAAGGGACGGGCACTACTTCTGTCTTGTGGACAGTTAAGCTTATCTAATGACAAAGCCATAAATTTTTGTGAGAGTGGGGCTAATTTTGACTACATAAGTTACTACAAAATTGTCCTCTACAGAATTTCGTCTTAAAAAATATTGCATAATAGCCTCCTTATTAATGTTATTGAAGATAACTTTCTTGATTACACAAGTATCATTAATCAATTGAAGATCAATTCAATTGCGTACGTAGATAATTCATTAAAAACTCAAGACTGACTAAAGTATATGCTACTCATCCAAGATTTTTTTTATTTTTTTTTTCCAATTCTCAGAGAAAACGACATGCTCTTTTTTTTTTTTTTTTTTTTTTTTTTTTTTCTCCGGTTTAAAACACAACCTTAAATTTTTTTTTTTTTTTTTTTTTTTTTTTTTCATCGCGTTTAAAGCACAACCTTAAATCTGAAATTGTCATTTTAAAAAAGAAAAAGAAAACACCTGAAATTATACTTCATTCGGGTTGGTTAGATGGACTTCTCTAAAATTATCAATATTATGCTTGCCCTATTGTTAGAGACAAAATTAATTATATTTAAAAAAAAAAAATGATCCACAGTCGCAACAATAATTTGATCTCTTCCTCAAACATTCGGTATACATACATTCACAAAAGTTCAGATTCCAACTTTCAAAGCTTCCTATGAAAATCAAGTATCCAACTTCTTTGGCTGAATAACAGATCCCCAACATTTAATTATCAA